CAAACCTAATTAGTTTGATTACATTTTTACATCTCTAATAAGGGCTCAATTTACACTAGTCTTTAGATATACGGGTTTAATTATTAGAACACTTATGTAACATCAACACATTTTATGTTGTTCAAGATGAGCATTGATGAAATTTGAAACTGAGTTTAAGCCCAGTGGGTTTGTTAAATAGTAATTTTGGTACGTGTGTCAAAAAGTTTTTAATCTGTTTAAAGCAGATAAGACCAAAAATGTAGAATTTAGTTCTACATTAACAATATTATTGAAATTAAATGAGATGTAGTTGTGCCGTGGTCTATATATCAGAGAAAAGAGGATTTTTATTTTAACTGTTAATTTTCTACAAAAATAAATAAAATCTAACAAAAAACCACTAAGTGGTAACACTTTCCCCGCCAAGTCAGCAATCCAAAAAAGTTAATAAATCATTACTTTTTCCGCCAAGAAAAACAATGTAATGTATGTAAGTTTGGCAACTTGGCGGCAGACTTTTGCTCGATCCCTTTAAAAAATACCATAAAACTAGTTTCATTGAGCAAGTATCCCTCCCATTGGTACATTGCTAGGTGAGAGCTTATTTTACAAAATTTGACCTTATTTGTGCCACATTTCATAAATTATACTTAGTTGGACTAATTAATTAGAGAAGTTGATTTGTGAAATTATCCACGAACGTAACTTAAATGAAAAAAACCAAGCAAAAGTCTGCCGCCAAGTTGCCAAACTTACATACATTACATTGTTTTTCTTGGCGGAAAAAGTAATGATTTATTAACTTTTTTGGATTGCTGACTTGGCGGGGAAAGTGTTACCACTTAGTGGTTTTTTGTTAGATATCCTATTGTAAATGGCATTGCCGTAGAAAAAATAAAATGAAATGAAATGTAAAATGAAAAAAATAATATCTAGTATTTCCTTATAACTTTTTTTTGTTTTTTTTTTTTACCAAAGTTCGCACTTCTGTCAGCTAGTTTCCCAGTAACTGTAGACTCTGCGACGGCCGTACCCGGTCTTCGCCCTCCCATGGTCGACCGGAGACACCCGACACCGCGCCCAGCAGGATCAATACCTCTGACGTAACAGTTGCGAGGGTCAAGAAAAACTTGTCTCCGTTAGAGAAATGTCGATGATCCTTCAAGGGAGTGTGCGTTGTTGGGGTTTATTGTGTTGAAATCAGAATATATTCGGAATGTAACTTAGTGATATTCGTCTGTACAATATTATTATACAAGAACTTTAACTGTTAGCGGTTCAGTCACTTAATTTAGCCTTGACATCATTGTCTAAATCTCACAAGAGGTTCGGCCTTAAACTAAGTCAAACATGAGTTTAACTGTGGATGCGTTGTAATCATAAGTTTTACTGTGTACCACATTGAATTATTGACAAATGTACGCATTTCGGGTAACTTATGTTGACTGTTAACAAAAAGTTATTTTCTTGTCAAATCCCAAAAAGATTCTTTAAATTTAAAGACACTAAGTAAACAAAAAATACTGCCCTTCAATGTTTCAAATGAAGTATGAAATTTTTTGAAAAAAATTGTTTTTGTAAGTCTTGTTCTGCATCATGCTTGAAAATCCATATTTATAAGACACATTTTCTTCAGAAAGCAGAAAATTTATTTGTAGTCAATGATATGTATGCATTACACCAAAACCATATTAGCAAATGAAATTATTTAACCTTTAAAAGCTGTCAAAACTGCATAGTAATTTTTTTATCCTTTATATTTTTATATGAATATTTGTGTGCATATCTTCAAAAGTTAACCGCCGGCCGTAAAAAATCTTCTCCTATTCATGATTCTATAATAACTTTTTAAAACGAAGATTCATCAATTTAATCTTACTGGATTTTATTATCAATAAATAGAAACCACTTTAATTTCCTTTAAATATGAGTACTCATAAGGTTACCATGCGGTACTAAAGAGCCACTGCGGCAAAGCCCGGAAGGATTTTTGAGATAAGAATATGCCTATACGTTAATCGGGAATGTGAGCGATCGTCTTGCCAAATTTCAGCCCAAACCGTCCTTAATGCGTGATTGAACTTCAAACAAACAAACACACAAACTTTCACATTAATAATATTAGTAAGATAAATAGATACCATTTATTATTATTTAAAATAGCAACTCTTAAGAAATTTAATCCTACAGTTAAGCACTGGAACATAGTAGATTGTACTTGCGTGTTTATACGATTTTAAAAATGTTGTCTTTATCCTGACACGCGCAAGTTAACCATTAATTAATTTTGGTAATCACACGAAAGAGAGAAAGTCATGATACTGATTAAAGAAGTTAATTTATGGTCTGCATGGTAAATCAGTCAATTAATTAAATGCTACATTAAATAAATCAAATTAAGTAGTTCACAATGTGGTTTTTCAAATGTTTAACCAAGATCCATGCACTAAGGATACGTTTGAAAAACAATTGACTTGTAATAGAATATTTTACATGATATTTAAGTTGGCAATAAGATATTAAATAAATATTTCGTATACCTTGGGGGATAATACCAACCAATAATTTGGTGTTGCAATATTAGGTACTTTCCTTTAAAGGGAACATTCATTATCACCGATGATTTTTTCTCTCGATATATCGATATTTACAAATTGAAACATATCAGCTGACAACTACGATAAATATTGTTCAGTAACATCAAACAATAATGAAATGAAACTGTTCTGAAAAAATAACCTAACATAACTAACCAAACTTGCTGTGTAACATTCCATGTTCAACTTGCCTTTTCTGTTATCAAAAGGAATTTTTAAATAGTACATCAAGTTTGGTTGGTTAGGTTAGCTAAGAACAGTTTCATTTCTTAATCCAAATAATAGACTATTTTAGCCTAAACAAGATCAGTTGTCAATATGTAATGGATCGGTAAACAAAAATATCGATACATCGAAAAATTCATTGATAATAATGAATGTTCCCTTTAACAGGAAAGTACCCAATATTAAAACCTCATTCAAACTACAAACACATTACAGATCAACCCACTACAGCATGATTTAATGCAGTGAATTAGACTTCCGTGGGGGAGAAGCTCAATTCAACTTCGCTATTCAAACTTTGGTCGAGTTAGTCAATTATTCAACTACTTCGATCTGCGCGATCCCTTGTTTTATAAGCCATTTGCACTCCATGAGAATGGAACAGGTGATCGTAAAAGCTTAAGTATGTTTTGACCATAGATAAAATATACTCCCTTAGTTTTTACTTAACTATTTAAAAATTATTTAGATAAGGAAGTTTAAATTTTGAGTTCTTAATACATTGTCAACTCCAAATTGGCTTTTTTTATGCTCTGTGTTGTATTTACTACTTCTTTTAAATACCTTCCTTCTTATCAGGTTAAATAGGTAGCCTTAAATTTGCCTTTTCCGCAATGACAAATATAAAACATAAAGCGCCATTGGATTTTAAATTAATTAAATTAAATTTGTCTGAAATGTTTTTTCCCTTAAAGTTTTCTTTAGGCAAATTTTTTTTAGTTATGACTATAGTTCTTGGTCTTATTTTTTCATTCAACATAATACTTTTTTTTTCTTTATGTATTTTAAATGCTCTTGTGTTTGTTACATTTAATAATTTATCGTTTTGTGCAGATTACTTATTATTAAGGGCTACAAATAAGTTTTAATGCATTAATTTATACTTAAAAAGTTTGTTAACTAGTGTTTTGACAAATTTAAGCGGATGCAGCAATAATTATTTTAAGCTCTCTTAATTCATCCGTTGTTAAAAGTCATTCCCGTCTTAAGCACGCAAATAGAGCATGGCTGATTACGTTAACAGTTCGCTTAGCCGCATACAATGAGTTTGATCAGGTTTGTCTACGTCAACTGTCTGAACGTATAACCGTCAACTTTATTGTAACCAGATATTGTGACAGTCCATCGACCTGAAAATTTACACTTAATTATCTCAGTACCTATGAAAACCGGATATAAAAATTAGATAAATATTGAGTTTATCATTGCCTTTTATAAATCTAAGTGGCTAAATGTTGTACATTTTTTAATAATTTTTATGATTTTATTTTATTAGCAGTCCATAGCACAAACATGTTACTGTTCGATTTCAAAATTTTACTAGACAACATCGCCAATTTATATAACTCTAAGACAAATATTATCTGGTCTAAAATCAAACCAGTAACTATGAGATATGAGAACGAGCACTAATCCCATCATTACTAATTAATACACTAAACAAGAACATTTGAAACGGTTGTAGTATTTTGTAAACTTATATCAAAACACTAGTATCATCTTCCTAAATAACTTGAAATCCCTTTATTGTTGGTTCTTATGAATTTTAAGTTTTTCACAGGAATAGATTGGTAGCTAAGTGAATGAAGTGCACGCTTAATTTTTTTTTATAAATTTGGTTTTTTGATGGTTTGAAATTGAACCCCTGTGTCCCTAAACTTAATGGGTTATAATGAATGATTTTGGCTAAAGTATCTCCACAGCTTTGTCGGTATCAAATCTGTCACCTCATTCTTTCAACGCTCATTCTTCACTCATCGTGATCGATGAATATTCCTAGTGTTGGCGTTCTATAAATATAAGATAACTCTGAGGCTTCATATGGTTGTCCTTGTGCATTCTAATTGTTTATTTACGAATGAAAGGTAATGAGATCAGTAGAAAACAAAATTTGCACGACAATACATGTATTATTAGAGCCTGCAAAATTACCACGTACCTTTTTTACAATAAATGTGTAATAACATCTTTTTGAAGAAAAAGGCTTAGTTAATATCGTAGAAATCTGATGCAGCAATTCATTTGAATTAAAGCAAAGAAAACCGGGATATCCGGATTAAGCTGGGTTTGTCGTTACAAAGTGTTTCACGATAGTTGTAATTAAAAGAATGTTGCGTATGAAAAAATACACTGTATTATTTTCAAGGACCCAAATCTTTAGGTTGACAGCCCCTGATGTTCACCCTGTTGTTCCAGATGGCCACTACCCCTGGGTGTATGCCAAGGTGGCGAAGCGGACCGTCGCTGGGAGACTGGGGACATCATGCACCAGAGACTGAGGAAGAGTACGTGGAGTACTACCAGGACAGAATCACACACAGTCAGTCTAGGCAACTCTTGCCTCTCATGGAGGATCTGGCAGACTGGCTAAACAAAACGTTAGGTGAGTATCTGTAACAACTCACTGCAGACCTTGACTTTAGGTAGAGAATGATATACTTTTCATCTATAAAACACAGTTTTTTTACTTGTTGGTTCCTGTGCCTCTAAGAAGATTCTTGGGGTCCTCATCCTTTTCCCTTTTTGGTACTTCAAGTTCCCTTTTTGTTTTCAACACGTACGGTATTCTATTAAAAACCTCTGATGGTTCAGGTTTGTATTTTTTTATTCTAGAATTTTCACTTCATACTTTCGAAATTACTGATAGTGCTAAAAGTATACAGTAATTTTGAATCGAAGACATGTTTTGCCCTGAGGAGCGTTTTATTGTTTTGGAGGTACCATTATTGTACAAAGTCTCTGATGAGAAAACGTGTGGCGTTCTGTAACCGATGACTCAATGGCGTGTTAGTTGTCACATAACGGCCAATGTCCCATTGTCACCTGAAGATTGATTTTTAATTATGTAATTTTCAACTATAGATTCTTGAGGGCAACTCTCGTGGGTATGAAACTATTTCGAATAATTAATTTGTTCGCGATTGTTCAATATAATCGAAATATAAAGAATACCCCTATGGACATTTTTGAAGAATACTCCACAATAATGATGAGCCCAAAAAATATTTCTTAAGAATTTATGAATTAGAGAACGTTTTTATTTAAGTCACTTAAGAATCACCGACGATGTTCTGAGTAAATAATGAATTGGTTAAATAAAAACATCAGGAGTATTGTAGTCATAATCTTTCAACATCCACCAGGAATTATTTTATCGGAGTTAGCAACTGACGTAACAGTAGTGGTTGAATTTACAATTACTAAACTTAACACACCAATTTCTACCGAGAACTTAGTTAATCGTTCAAAGTCCTATATCATGCCAGAATCCACGTCACGTTTGGGAGTCCTCGTATGCAGGTCGATTGGGGTATCGAGAAGCCTGGTACGACTATTGGAAGTATTGCCTGACTCGCCAGACCACAGACACGGCTAGCATGCACGAGACCGATCTATACTCATCTTTCTGTTCCTGTTCCTTCCTTGATATTTTACTACGTCGCCATTTTTTATGTGCTCGTCAATGTGATGAACATAACAGTTGATAAACGTTTTAATTTAGAACGCTTGTACATCAACCTATCCTTGCAACTAATACAAGGGATGGCATAGAAAACATTTCTTTTTATTGGTTAGTGTATAATTTACTTTTATACAAACTGTTCCTATCATCTGTTTTTCTTGTTTCGTACTTTCCTACGCTGGTTAAAATAAAATTGTGTTAGGTTGTAAATTATAAGGTTTACGTTACACAACGTAAAAACTCAAGTTTATGGACCTTTATCAATTTGCCCTAATTAACCATAACCAAGTTTCTTAAGTTTCCTTTGCATTTCATAGTTCTTAGCGATTGGTTGGACATTGATATGAACAATGAATTATTGAGTTGCCAGTGCAATAAGATTTACCATTCCGACGTAAATCCTTCGATTTCATGCCTGTTCTGCTTTCCATTTAAATGCAAATATTTCCATACCTACAGCGGTTATTTGCGACAGGAAATAATATTATGACGTACTGATATGAATTCATATTTTCGTTGAAAGTTATTAGTTCGCATTTTACGACCGTAGTACCACACGCACGGACATCGCAGTCTGCGGTCGTAACTGACGGTCGTTAACCAAACGTAGGCGGTCGTAGCCGCAACGGTGACCACAGGACCTGCGGTAGGCCATCGTAGCCGCAACGGTGACCACAGTATCTGCGGTAGGCCATCGTAGCCGCAACGGTGACCACAGTATCTGCGGTAGGCCATCAACTACCAACTTCTATGCCTTTAGGACTCAACATATACCCATACGTCAACATCCATCCATCGCAAAAACCACCGTCTACGTAGGTCGTTGACAGTCAACCACCGTGATCTACGTAGGTCGTTGACAGTCAACCCCCGTGATCTACGTAGGTCGTTGACAGTCAACCCCCGTGATCTACGTAGGTCGTTGACAGTCAACCACCGCGATCTACGTAGGTCGTTGACAGTCAACCCCCGTGATCTACGTAGGTCGTCGACAGTTAACCACCGCGATCTACGTAGGTCGTTGACAGTCAACCCCCGTGATCTACGTAGGTCGTTGACAGTCAACCACCGCGATCTACGTAGGTCGTTGACAGTCAACCACCGCGATCTACGTAGGTCGTTGACAGTCAACCACCGCGATCTACGTAGGTCGTTGACAGTCAACCACCGCGGTCTACGTAGGTCGTTGACAGTCAACCACCGCGGTCTACGTAGGTCGTTGACAGTCAACCACTGTGATCGATTTTTTTTTAATCAGGGCTCAGCACATGCTTGAAAGAAACAATAAAATAAACAAGTCATTACTATTCTTTTGGACATGATGATATTTAGAGATTTATTGTTAAACGTCGTGCAACAGTCAAGTATTTAATACTGGACGTCGTGACACATCTAAAGAATCTTATTTTGGACATCGTGGCGCTGACTTATATCATTGGACGTCGTGCAATGCATCCTATAATTTTACACTGAGATTCTCTTCTATGTATCGTGTGCCCCGACTACCTACCCTCACAATATGAATGGAGTTAGAGTTTAGCGTGCAGATTGATATCAGTCCGGCAGTTTAGATTGGCAATGATAACACTCTGACCGTTGTGAATTATTTATTATTCGCTTAAAATACCCAGCGTGTCTATGCAAAATCAATTTTAATTTACCTTTAAATTTTCAAACAAATGTATTTTATCAAATAAAATATTTAAATAATGAAATTGAATCTACCTAGATATTTTTTTTAAACACACGAGGGAGCTTTAAGACAATGTAATAAATTTATCAAATGGTTACGGGCAGTAAGATAGAATCGTCAGAATTGGCTTATTTCTGAGATGTTCAATAATAGAATTATTCATTACTCAAATACAATTAAGTTACCCAGATACAGGCTTGTGTCTAAGACATCAAAATACATTTTATTACGATTTTAAACTTATCAAGTCAAAGTTTGAATATCTCTCATAACAGTACCAGGAATATAGGATTGTTTCTTTTTAATGCCTTAGTCATCCATACACCATCTGGTAGCCGAGCATAGTGACTGCTCATTGCTGCTCCTTACGTTATTGTTAGAGCACCGTGAGAGTATATTACGAGGTTCTGCGTCATCTTGAGATCTACAGGGCTGCGTCATGTAACGGGGAACAGTACAATGAAAATAGTACCACCACAATCAAAACAGACTTGGAGCTGAATTAACACTTAGAAATTCTTTACTGAAATTTTAAGATACAAGAGATGGAATCAGGTTAAAATAAAATACTATTTATTTGATTAATTCATAGACGAGAATCAAAATACTTTTAATAATGATTGATACAATTTTTGTTTAAATGTATGACCACCTAACTTAAATGCAAGCTTAAATTAAAGAAACAAACATCTTACATAACAATCAAAAATAACATACAATAGCCAGTTCTGGCTTAGTTTAAACTTGCTGATAAGTTTTTGTACATATTTTCTTACTTCTATTATATTTTCTAAAAAAAATTAAAACAACATCAAATAATGACATTTGATTTAAACGCATTGACCATAAGCGACTTTGGGTGTTGATAGTTTCAGATATTGACTCTGTTGATTGAACAACACGACGTTACTTGGCCTGTCGCCAAGTCTTCCACCCTTGTCTGGAGTATAAACAGAAGATAACCTTTTGTTTTCCTCCCCTCTATGTAAGCAAGTCAACAACATTGGTACCAAGGTATAATTTTAAGCGGAATTTTTTAGCTTGCAGATTATATTTTCCTTTCAGGTTTTACTAACCATGCCACTTTTAAAATTGGTAATGAGTAGTGTTTACATGTAAAAATACAAACCTTAAGTTGTAAAATAAAGTTTGACTAATCTCTTGCTTAAATTATCGTTTTATGTTATTAACAACGTCATGTATAACATTATTAGGCAGTAATAAGGTATGCTATTATATATATGAATAATATTCATGACAACTCACGTTAGAAGGTCCAATTCCTCCTGTCCTTCTGAGTTATCCTACGACAGAAACAAAAACAATAACATACATTGTAGCTATCTCTCTTCATGGTTGGCTATGCGTTCCAAAGAGAGCTAGTTTGTTCCTCTTTTCTTCCTGTTTTCCTTCTAAATTATCCTATGACAGAAACAAAAACAATAACAGACATTGTGTCTCTCCCTCTTCTTGGTTGACTATGAGTTCCAAAGAGTGCTAAGTTTGTTCCTCTTTTCCTCATGTTGTTCTTCTGAGTTATCATACGACAGAAACAATAACAATAACAGACATTGTGGCTCGTCCTCTACTCGGTTGGCTATGAGTTCCAAACAGTGCTAAGTTTGTTCCTCTTTTCCTCCTGTTGTCCTTCTGAGTTATCCTACGACAGAAACAACAACAATAACAGACATTTGTTCCTCTTTTCCTCCTGTTGTCCTTCTGAGTTATCATACGACGGATACAACAAGAATAACAAACATTCGTTCCTCATTTTCTCCTGTTGCCCTTCTGAGTTATCCTACAACAGAAACAACAACAATAACAGACATTGTGGCTTTCCCTCTATTTGGTTGGCTATGAGTTCCAAACAGTGCTAAGTTTGTTCTTTTCCTCCTATTGTCCTTCTGAGTTATCCTACGACAGAAACAACAACAATAACATACATTTGTTCCTCTTTTCCTCCTGTTGTCCTTCTGAGTTATCATACGACAGAAACAACAACAATAACAAACATTCGTTCCTCATTTTCTCCTGTTGTCCTTCTGAGTTATCCTACAACAGAAAAAACAACAATAACAGACATTGTGGCTCTCCCTCTATTTGGTTGGCTATGAGTTCCAAAAATTGCTAAGTTTGTTCCTCTTTTCCTCCTGTTGTCCTTCTGAGTTATCCTACGACAGACACGACAACAATAACAGACATTGTGGCCCTTCCCCTACTTGGTTGG